GGCAAGCCCACCCGAAGTCTGTAACATCCAAGCTGCATTCTGCTGCGGTGCGTGTGGCACAGGTTGGGGCTGCGGAGCAGCTTGCCGCTGGTAAGCCTGGTCCAGGGAAAGTTGCCAACGCCAAGCATGTCTTACACTTGCTGTTGTCGAACACCTTGAAAGAACGCTAGATTTGGTGATTTGGTGTGACTGGCAACAACCTGGAAGGCAAGCGTACCTTGCACCTTGCATGATAGAGTTCGCATTGCTCCCAGCCAGACAGCAATGCAACCAGGGAAACAGAAGGAGCAACAACAGGAGATCCCTGAACGCGGCTACCGCTCTACAGTTCGGCGCAAGTGACATACCCACGTTTCCTTGGTGTGCCCTGCTTTTCCGACCAGAGCAGGAACCCGCATCTGGCACTCTGGCAAGAAAAGCCCTTTGAACATTCTTCAGGGCTCACCCTCCCTTGGAAGTCAAAGCAATGGAACGTCACCAGCCCGACTGGCGTATTCACTGAGCTCAGAGCGGAGGGAGCGGCCGAGTGAAAGGCCTCGAAGGAACCGGGTTGTATAAAGCAACTGTTCTCCGAAAGTGTGAACGGAAGGCGCTGATCTAGGCCTACTCAAGAGGTCTCGCGCCCGATCGCTTCGCTTGCAGATGTTGGCGTTGTCATAGTTCGGAATGCCGCAGTGTGTGTTGCTTCGGGCTGCCTCAATATACTGGATGTTGGCTTAGCCGTGCACTCCAAGATCACGACTGCCCACTCCCAAAGAACCCACCAAGCCCTTCAATCCAAAAAGACCCTCGACCTTGGGCCGTGCGCCCCGACCCAACTCATCCCTACACCCTAAACCCTCAGCCCCAACTTCTATGCCCAAAAAACCCTCAACCCTCAACCCCAAACCCCACACCTCAAAAATCCTACAACGCCAAGCCCGCGGCCCCGCAGGGCTGCACCAGCTGTGGGGGCCCTGGGGCTTGGATCCGAGCCGTCTGCCTGGCGCGACTCTATTGGGGTTTAGGGTTTGGGTGCTTGACTGTCTTGCTTTTGTTGGGCGAGGGTTTTTTGCACGGTTTTTTTGGCAGGGCCTAGAAAGTTTACGCGGTGCTGTGAACAACTATCTGTCTTTTTCGCAGTTTGGGGGGCTTTGGGAGTTCTACTAAACTGTAACTATCTTTTCCGGTGAGGGCTTCTGGCCAACTCGGGGATCCATTGCCTCGTGGAGTCTCTCGACTTAGATGGTTCGGGCGCTTCGGGGTGTTCAGGGTTCAGGGTTCAGGGCTTATAGGGTTTAGGGTTTAGGGGTTAGGGCTTAGGCAGTTTAGGGTCTTACGCTGAGGGGGCTTCAAGGTTTAGGGTCATTTGGGGGTTGATACGTTTGGGGGTTGAGGGGCGGAAGCCGTGATTTACCGCCTGGCCTACACAAGATGAGTGAAAGAATCGATTTGTACTAGGAATTGATTCTGTTGATTTTGGTGCTTTCGGGAATGGTGCGCGGGGGCGTTTCGGGTAATGGTGGGAATGGTGGGAATGGTGGGAATGGTGGGAATCGCGGGCACTGGCGTGTGATGCCTGGCATGCTGGGATTAATGGTGGGGCATGGTAGGAATGGTGAGGAAGGGCGGCGATGGGAAATGGTCTTTTAATAGTATTCTCACGGTGCCTTCTGGAGTGAAGAGAGCAATGTGAAAACACTTTATTTCGCTTGTTCGGCTCACTTATTCACTCCGCTCATTCCTTTCACCTTCATTTCCAAGTCTATGATCATCAGCTGTGGCGCAAAAGACCCTAATATTTACGAGGAGGTGGGGGTCCGGAGGTGTGGGGTGTGGGGGTGGGAAGGGAGGTCGGAGGGCGGAGCAGCGCGAGTGGCGGGCTCCACTGACGGATCCGGATCCGATTTGACTTCGGTGTTGCGGATTGGCTGGGCATGCTCACTTGCACTACACGCACTACAGACAATGTACCTGCATTTGTGCCACCAATCCACACACCAAACGCAACCCCTGCACAAACCGCCCCACGCGTCCTTCAAGCGCCGTGCTTGGAATGAACAAGTGTCAGCAGATTGGCCTACCATCTTACATTTTGATCGCTTACATGATTCCCCACACTCACTGTGTCCCTTCGGTCACCAGCCATACACTGTCCTTGGTGTGCCCAACGCTAGAATGTCCTAACACTCTGCAGTGCTTTCGCATTGGCAAAGTATCCCTGCGGTGCCGCTCCGCAAGTTGCCCCAGAATTTCACGAAGCTTGAATATGCGAGGTATTCTGGACCAAACGGTACGGTACTCTTTTTACAGCCAAAATGGCTCTATAACGAAATATACCACAATCTCACCACGTCAACCCTGCAAATCCCCTCTTAAACGATCATTGATGCGGCTTAGCCGGCAGCTTCCCCCCCCAGTGGTTGCAAGATAACCATGCATGGCGGATACGACTTCAACAAGTACGAGTATGCTCGAAACGCCCTGTTTCATTCAGGCTGTTTGTGCTCTGGCTGTACTGGAATGGTTCCCTTGATATTTTCTGGAGATATGACATGGAAAACGGGGTTCGTGTTGTGACATTCTATTGGAGAAGCTGATCTTTTTGGATGCATACCAGTCATGATTCTCCAATGATCATTGGGAACGAATATGTAAATATGAATGTGCAATCTCGTATGCGTATTTGAGCCCCCCCCCCCCCCCAAAAAAAAAAAAAAAAAAACAAAAAAAACAAAGGCAAACCCCAACACCTAATGCGTGGTGGGTAGTAGTTAGGATGGTAAGGAATGGGTAAGGAAGGGACTGGCAGCGAATAATGGCGGTGGGAATGGCGGGTAGTGACCGGATGTATGGATCGGACTGGTGGGACTGGCGATCTGTGGACAAGCGTTAGGGCTGGTGTTGAATGTTGAGTAATGCTGGTTGGGGTGGGCTGTGGTGGATGGTGAGGTGGGTTGACGTCAGGGTGCGAAGTGGGGAAGGGTGGCTGGGGCCCAGCATTGCTGGAAGTTCTGGGCTCGGGTGATCTTGGTGCTAGGAGGACTGCTTAGGCTGGCTCTGCTAAGTCTGGGTTGTCGGCTCGTACTTTGTTTCAAGGCCTTCGTTTGGGATCCTTGGTTGCGGATGCTTCAGTTCGTGAGTTTTGGACGATTGGGGGCGGGCGAGGGCGGGGGGGGGGGGGGGCGGCAGTGTCAGAATAAACTGCCAAATCTGGGAAATCAGAATGCAAACAGGTGGAAGAAGAAAGGGAAGCGCTGAATACCCTGAGCAAACCCGCAGAATAAATCCCGAAAAGCCCTGCCGAATCCTTGACCAGCCAAGGAGAGAATAAGGAAAACAACCATCATCATTAAATGAAATACGCAGCCCGATAGAGTTTCAGGGCTTGTTGTGAAGAATTGCGACAGCAACACGCTGACAGGCGGTTGCCGCGATGGATGGGCGCCGGCGCGACCTGCATGACCTGTGTTCTTTTGGGGCTTACAGGTGTTTAGGGGGTCTGTTAGGGCCCCATTAGGGTTCGGGGATGAATCACCAAAGTACTCTAGCAGCCCTGGTAAAATAAGAGTTCTGCTTTCCTCACCCCCAATGGCCAAGAGCCTCGACTAGCGCGGTATTCAGGGCGTCGCGTCTTTCATCCTATCGCACGAGGTATGGGCGCTGCCCGGAGTGAGAACATAGGAACCCTTGAAGGCGTAATACGATGCACGGTCGTTACTTTCGGGCTTGGACCGTGCTCCCGCGACATTGCTCTGACACCGTTTGGGGTATCCGCTTGCAAATAGTATCACAGTATCTCACAGTTGGCTCCTTTCGGAGATGCCTGGTTTTACTGGGGCACTGCTGCGTCAGCCGGCGCCTCGGAGGAAGTCGGGACAGGCGCAGCTGCGTGTTGAAGCACTTTTTAGCTTCTAGGTTCACACGGCTAGAGCCCACGTGCTAAGATCTGTCGTTGCTGGTGATGAATACCACGCCAAGGTGGCGGTCTTCTGCAATTTTCTGCTGCTTCGACACTGTCGGCTCCAGGAGCGCATGATATGTAACAGAGCTTCGAATGAGTCTACGGGAACTCACATGCACTCTCCAAGGAAACGTGGCTTTGCTCTGTGTGTTTGCAGTGGAGGCATGAGCACTGAGACAGGTGGCGCGGCGTGGGGAAGCAAATAAAGGGAATTAGAGGTCTCGATCAACCTTGTGCGCACAATAAGCTAGTTATATCTATGCCCACAGGACATGATTCAAAGAATTTGTGAAACAGTGCCGGGCTAGCTATGAGGATACAAGGTCAAGAAGCTTCTGGTTGAGCCTGCGCCGAAGTACAGCTTTCCCTCTGCATGAGTCATGAGTCCAGGCAGCCTCCAGCGGTGCAGCCCTTGCATTGATTGACGAACGACGAACGATGTAGCACAAAGCTGCACCTGCATCCGCTACACCCGCACAATCTCACACGATCAGACCTTCACACCCTCACACCAACACTTCAGCGTTCAATCCATTTGTCAACGCGCTTATGCATGCTCTGGAAGAGGAGGTCTCGTTGTTATTTGGGTGAAGGCTTGCATGATTTCAGAACGAGCGAATGAAGACTCCTCCTTTGGGATGTTCCCCCTTATACTAAGAGTCCTTGATAGGGATTATTTATCGAGGGTACTATAATCTCTACTAAGGGCTGTTAGTATAATGGGGAACATCCCAAATCATCCTGAGCATGACTGCATGTGCTGAATGTTTCACAAGCACCTGTAGCACATGCTGCTTGGAAGCAGCACACACACTACACAAACAAACGCTCCTCACCTCCTGTCACCCCACTCGGGGATGTGGACTGCGCTCTTTGTGCACTCACACAAGAAACAACAGCAGCGAACCAGAAACACATGAAAGTACTGAACGGGTTCCGCGAACGCTCTGCCTCCACCATCTGTCAAACGATCGCCGCGGTGCTACACCCCCAAACCCCCACCCCTAATCCTCGAACAAGAAATTCCTGTTCCGCAGGCACATCCTTTTGTGGCGGATCACTTTGTCCGAAAGCGATCGTCTCCTGCGCCGGACTCATCCTTCCAGACCTGACGCCACTAAGTGGCAGAGAGCCCACCAAGGACACAAGTAGGACAAGGTTCATCAGGGTCCAGGGGTGCAGAGTAGTGTTAGGGTTTAGGGTTTAGGGTGTTACGGCTAAATAAGGCACTTCGAGGTACTTGTGGCTGGGGGAAGGCTTAGCAGAGCCTTGGGCTTTGCACTGGAGCATGGGAGGCAAAATCATGAGACTTGCACAATTCGGGGATTCTGGGAAAAGCCTTGTTCTGAAGGCTCCTAATGCAGTAATGTTTTGGGGTAGGATACCTACAATCCGCCATAACTAACCAAAAAGGGAACTGCATTGGAACCTTCATGTAAACTCTAAACCCTGTAATCCCTAAACGAAGAGGATTCAGGATGTGCAACTCGGAGAAGCTTCAGTTGAGCGGTAGTGGTTGAGGAAGAATAAGGAGGGTTTTACTGAATACGGGTTTCTGTTTGAGACAGTCCCTCAACGGCCAGGAATATGCTATGAGACAGTTTTGAACAACTCCTCCGCTTTGGGTACCCCAAAAAATTGGGGCCATCGTATTGTAGGACCCCCCCCCCAAAAAAAAAAAAAAAAAACAACAACTATTTTGCAGAAGTCACCACGTGTTGCTTGTAACGATCCACGTCCCTATTCAGCTAATATACTTAAACCTTAAAAGGGGTTCCTATATAGTTCCCCTAATTAGGGGCCCCGAGTACATACCATACAGGTACATGGATCCTTGGGCACGAGTAGTCTGGGTCAGCGGCAAGCTGCTGCTCCTTTGGTGCAATCGCTGCATTCCATTTTTCCCAGTCCTCAGACCTTGGCTGCTAAAGACCAGCAAAAAAACTCGGAGGACCGTCTGCAGCAAGCAAACACCCCCGTTCCGTCTAAAAAGGGCAGGGCTTACTCAGCTACTCGGCGTTCTAGGGCGCAAAACTGCGCCTGACGCACTGGTGGGGTCGGCCTGCCTTCGACGCTTTGCTCGATCGAAGCTCTTGTGTAACTTCGTGTGTCTGAACATGCTGGCCCCAAACCGTTGCTGTTAAAAACTCCTTCCTTGGTGCAGACGAGGTCTGAACAATTCCAACCGTCATCCTTTTCTACAAATGGTCCAGGGATTGTGCTCACCCTTCCTCCTGTCTAGCCGACCCTCCCTGAGCCCGACCAAGAATTGAGAGCAAATCCAACCGATCAGAGCATTTTCAAGTCAACGCTAGAATGCCTAATGCCTAATGCCTAATGCCTAAACCCTAAACCCTAAACCCTAAACCCTAAGGAACCCTAAGCAGCTCAGCTCCATGGACTGATACTTTTGGAACAATTTGCGTCGCGCAGAGGCCCGGACGGGAGCTGCCGTGCCTGCCGAGGACTTTAGGGGATTGGAATGCTGCGCAGCGATGTTGTTTTAAGGGTTGAATGCAGTGCAATACCAAAGTTGCAGTCATGGTTGAAATTATTGGGAAGGTGCTCAAGGTCATGTATTGCACACTGCACAGGCCCCAGCTTCCTGAGAGCTCCACTAACAAAGGGCGAAGACAAGGCCATGGCTGCGCGGTCCACGAATCACCCAACTAGAAGCCACAAGCCCCGGGACGGAACCCCCCCCCCCCCCCCCCTGTTGACAGGTTCAGGGCCCCCGGCCCTGATTCCACAACACCTCTACACCCTTCATTGCATGCCACCAAAGCCCTACATCGGAGTCTTGCCCGTGCTCTGAAACCCTAAACCCTAAACCCTAAACCCTCAGCCCGAAAGCCCATTTCAGCCTGTGGGTTCCCGAACAGCGTTGGCGCTTCTTGAAACCACTTCCTGTTGGCTTGTAAGTTACATCTTAGGGCTTATAGGGGGCGTATGAAAAGAGAAGGGGGTTCAACTTTGGGTTTGAGCTCTTCTAGGCCAACTTATAGGAATTAGGGGTTAGGGGTTAGATTTCTTTGACGAAGAAGGTTGAAGCCTCACTTATTGAGTGAACCAGGAGATCTTCACACATCTCATGATTTGCCTTCGAGTAGACACTTTCCATATTGCACTGCCGCACTGGGCCTTAAGCTTTGCAGCTTCCGGTGTGCAAGGTGCGGAGTAGACGACTATCGCGGCACAGGATTCCTGATTCCGAACTGAGGATGGTGGGGCTGATAATCTGAAGAGACAATGACCAGACATCTTCCTCACAGTTCGGGATCTAGGGTGTTGGCCTTGGGTTTAGGATTTAATGAGGGGGGTGGGGGGGCTTCCGGGATCTTCCGGGACGAGCTTAGGTGGCTTTGCGACCGGCTGATGAGTTCCGCAAACCCAGCAAGGCACAAGATATCAAGCAGGGATTTGACCATCGGCATCATGAGGCATTCTGATTCTCCTGCCGGCGCTAACTATCCACATACCCAACCGCCCGTCAGGCAACAACGAGGCAGCCACGGATGCGTCTGCTCATCATCCCAGACCCATTTCCTGCAGAGAGCTAGGGCCTAAACCCTAAACCCTAAACCCTAAACCCTAAACCCTAAACCCTAAACCCTAAACCCTAGACCCTAGACCCTAAACCCTAAACCCTAAACCCAGGACGTGTAGCCGAGCTGGCCCGTTTTGTGTTGGGCTTTAGCCGACACATCTGTTCACGCGCGAATGCAGACGTAAACTAAACACGCTCTCACAAGAGTGTCATCTCATACGCTGCTCTCTTACCCAGCAGCAGTTCATAAGCAGACGATGTCGATGCTGCTGTTTCTGATTCAGTTGACTCCTCTTTCATTTCTTGGGACCAAGGCACGCCAAGACAACAATGGTGATGCCCCAGGAAAGCCTCGCCAACATGGGCAAGAAATGGACAGGCTAGCGAGCACAATGCCTGTCACTGATGTCGGGAATGAAGACTTGACATTTACGGCTCTAGAGCCACTGCTGTCACCGTAACCTGGCTGTGTAAGCCATGTCCTCGATTTCTGCGCGTTTGAGTTGACATGATTCACTCTGCTCTGTCTGCTCTCGACTTTGATTCTGGATCGTGGCCAATAGAACGCCCCTCAAACTCGGGAGCCAAGACGTAAAAACTTCTGCCTGTTCAGCGCTTTCTTATCCCAGTAGGTCGGGCGCAAGACTTTCTGGATGCTCCCCGGAAGCCGCCTGGGAGCAAACTTCACACAGGACTTCGGGGCAGGGCCTCGAGTCGAACTCAGGGATCAGGGTTCAGGGTTCAGGGTTTAGGGTTGAGGGTTTAGGGTTTAGGGTTGAGGGTTTAGGGTTTTCCTTACAAACGGCAACTCAAGGTATCTTGCCTATTGCTATGTCTCCTTTTGCGAGGGCACGGCAAGCCCTGCAAGCATTTACACAAGCCCCATACGCCCTACACCTCGAACCACAATCAGCCACGCTATGCTTCGGATGCTTTTGGCTGCTGCTCCTAGCTGTTTGGGCCGAGGGGTTCCCACGTCTACTTTCGTGTGCGCCACGGATATACTAGATCAAGACTCTAGTTGCTTTGTGCGATGTTGCGTTTCATGTGGCTGAAACTAAACGCTCATCCGACATGAGTTCTGGCAAGGGGGCAGTAACTTTCAGTGGTGTAGTAGGCAGTATCGACACTGACAACGTGCTAGCAAAAACTCACCAACTTGGCAGCTGCAGGCAGAGTTCAGCATGGCGACTTAAACTCACAGCCTTGCAGAAAGTCGTGTTCTACGACAACAATCATATTCATCATAACAAGAATATTGATGATAACAAACTGATTGTAATGCCAAGCTAATGAATCAGAACAGAAAGGCATTCGATCGGTGCAGACGAGCTTCTCGATCATGTTGCCCCTGGTCCGTGGCTGTACAGATCTTATCCCTCGATCGCCTTGGGCCTGAATGATCCTTCATGCGGTTTTGGGGCCTTTAAGGTATGGGGCCGCAGTACTCTCAACATGGGGCAGAAGTCTGCTGGTAGGTCTGTGGCTCCCCAAGTGTTTGTGATTGCAAGCTTGGCGCGGGGAGTTTTGCAAAAAGTCAGCGCAACATTGCAACGACATGCTACAGCACATCATCTTGTAGTGTCTATGTAGCTGGAGCCAGTGCTGAGACGACTTCGGGATGCTTGGTCATGTTTGAAAGCCTGGCCACACGCCTGAGTTAATAGCCTAAAATCCTTCACCCTAACCGCCCCCCCCTCCGCCCGTGCCCCCCCCCTGCCCCCCCCCGCCCGCCCCTACCCCCACCCCCCCCACCGCCCCGAGCCGCTGTCTTCTGGAATGCGTTACAAAGGCACCTTCTCACCCACGCTGGGCAGGCGGGGTCGTGTAAAAATAGTCACCTGGTTAAACCATGTGTTGCATTAAGCCATGCTCCTCCCTCGCACAACTCATGGTGGACACTGTTGACATTTCAGCCGCAACCACCAGCCGCAACCACCAGCCACCCCAGCAGACCGTTTGCGCAAAACAACCTACACCTCCAGCGGCACGTCTGAAATCGAAACTAGGTTCAAACAGAAACCCCTTAAACCGTTTAACACGGCAGTGCATCTTAAAGGTTGAACGGTTCAACTGCAACAAAACCCTCCGGCAATGTCAAGGCCTGGTTGCAACTAATTAATGTTGGAACCGCTTTAGTTTCAGGTCCGCTAGTAAGCGCTTTTTCCCGAACACTTATAGAGGACCCAGACCCTCAAGCTTCAAGGCTTCCCCTCAACCCTCGACCCCTAGCCGCCCTGCCCCCAGCCCCCGTCCCAGCCTATGGAGGATCCGCGAAACCCCCAAAATTGTGTTGTGCGGGGGGGGGGGGGGGGGGTTGCCTGGACACTAAAGCGAGTCCAACATTATTTAACTGCTTTCAACCTGCGGCAATGTACAAACCACCAGATTAAGAATCGTCTTCAAGAGGTGCACTCACAAGGCAGTCTTTGAGGTCTACGTCCTCTCGAGGATGTTGAAAAAATCACCCCCTGAAGCATGCGTATAGACCGCGTGCTAGCAAAGCATGCATGGAGCAGACTACAGCCACATACAGCCACGTAGAGGAGACAAGCTTTACGCATAAAGCCTTGTCAACGAATGCAGAGAAACTTATAGTCGACCTCGCCCCCCAAAAAAGCAAAGCCCAAAAAAAACCACTGCAAATCTTACCGAGATCTCACCCCCCCAGCCCCTTCCGGCTTTTGTCAGGATGCTGGGACAGACAGGGGCTTCACGAGTCCGGATGGAGGTTTCGGGTTTCAGCTTGTTTGCGCTTGGGCTCTCGGGGTGTTGGGCTCGTGTTCCAAGCCGGCTGTCGTGCCATGTAGCCCTGCCAGAGAACTCCAGTGCACTCGGCCATGAGCAGAAATGCACTTGTGGTGAAGAAGGTTCCTGCTCAACGCGGTTCAACCTCCGCCTTCGGCGAAGATCTGCACGCTTCCCTTTTTAGGTGCAACAGTGTAACAGTGGCTATGAAGAATGTTCGAACCAGCATATGACCCTGGCTGCCCCGGGTGCAAGTTCCCGACTAGGTGTGGGTCGGGACGCGCGTGGGAAAAATGAGCACAACTCCTTCATGATGGGCGTTGATGACACCTCAGGCCTGTCCTTCTTGGCTGGGTGCACGAAGCTGCCCCTGTCAATGTACATCAGGGAGCGCGCCGTTGCAAAACCCTCGAGCCCTCTAAAGCCTAAGTCCCGAAGCGCCTCACTCCGACAGCTCCAGGATACCTCCCTATATCTACCCTATACAAGCCAAGGGCCCATACATCAGAACCCTTTAAAGAAGGTAAGGGAATCATGCAACTACCCTAGGAGCATGCAACTAGTTCCGAACCTATCTGATCACCTCGCCCTTAAGAGTTGGGGTTGTTGCAGGGCTGCTTAGTTAAGGGCCCTGGACCCAGGGATTCAAGCGTCCAAGATCGCAAGCTTGCGTACTCAGCGGCCCTATCTCCAAAAGGTCCCCAGGTTCAGGGTGTAGGGTTTAGGGCAAGCAGGAACTGGTGCGGGTTGGGGGTTACGGAGTTGAGTCCCAGGCGTGTCTCCAAAGCATGCGGCATGGCATCGAAAAACAGCTATCGGGCCGGGGTTTCGGTTCTAGGGGGTTAAACAGCTGTCACGATCCTCACCTCCAATGCTGGAAGGCCCCTTAGGGCAAGCCATGCTTATCACTGTGATTCGGTTGTCCACGGAGGACACACTCAACACTCAGTACCCTGGACCCTGAACCCTGAACCCTATGGAAGGGTACCAGCACACCGCGTTCAGGCAGGTAAACAGTCCTAGTCCTGGCTGCCGTGTACATCGTACTTTGCCCCGGCGCACTCCGCTGCTGCATCGAAAATTCGAATCACCAGATCTTTCCTAAATGTCATTCAGCGCTGTCTGCTGGCTGTTCACCGGAAAAACATCTCGTGCGACTTGCCGAACAGAAGAGATCATATAAATCATGGTGGATGCCCTGGGCCATGTGTTGCTGGTAACTGGGTCTCTCTCTGCCTGAGGGATGTTAAAACGAGATGTGTTGGCAAGGATACAGCCAGAGGGCCAAATACAGAGATCTCTGCCACCTTCGTTTTGCGCCGGCGCGGTCTGGGATCTCGATCAGAGGACTCAAGGCTGCAGAAGCGAAACCTTTTTTGCCGGTGTCTTGTCTGGTGCTGCGACCTTTCCAAACGTTTCCATTTGTTGCATGATATGGGAGAGCGGACAACTACAACAATCATCTCCTTCCCATTAGTACTAGTAAAGTGCTAGTACTCGTACTACTACCCCTTGGTACTATCTATTTTGTACTATGAGTAAGGGTCTGTGGGGGGGGGGGCATCATTATGCTGCACAGCGGTTTTTTAATTCTGGGGGGGGGGGGGGGGGCTTGAACCGCCCCCCCCCCCCCCCCCCCACTAATCAGAAGCTCGGATTAGCGTAGAGGGCGGTGTGTTTAAGGTTTAGGGTATGGGGTCAAACATGACCCTCATAGCACTTTGGAACGACAGAACAAGCCAATGCAGCCTCGGTCGCGTGGAATCACTGCGTCCCTACCGTCTGAGTGCTGCTGTTTCCTGTAGGGTTTAGGGTTTAGGGTTTAGGGTTTAGGGTTTAGGGTTTAGGGTTTAGGGTTTAGGGTTTAGGGTTTAGGGTGTCTAAGAGGTTGACCCGACCTCCAAGAACGATGGCCCCTCAAACACTTGCGACGATCAGCTAATGAGGGCTTACAGAGCTTGCAGGGCTTGGGGTTTGGGGTTTGGGGTTTGGGGTTTAGGGTTTAGGGTTTAGGGTTTAGGGTGAAGCAATAGAAGAGCAGGAAGCAGCTTTGCCGCCAATCATCGCATGCTCTTGCCAAGCGGGTTCTACTGTGGATCTGCTTGTTGCAGCAAGGCTTGGTCAGCTATCTTACCCTGAGGCACCAAAGATACTCTAGAGAATCGTGAATTTGAACCTGACTCATCTCACTAGACTGCCGCGGCCGTAAGTGAGAAGCTTCTAAGCAGGTTTCAAGTTACAGCGCTGTCGATGAATTCGAAATGCCCTATAAACCTTAAAGATACCTAGGCCGCAGGCCCTCGGCTCTCAGTAAGGTTTTGTCTTTTGACTTTCATGCTTAGTTCCACACTCAGAACCCAACCGCGCACGGATTTGGACCATGCGACTGCATCTGCCGGCAAGAAAACCCTGTTTTTTGGGAAACTTTGGCCTCGGACGTGGAGGGCTCATTGAGGAGAAGTGTGGAGTACTATCCCTCAGGATAGAACCACACTACAACCAAAAGGGACTACGCTCGATTTTGGAAGGCCGGTAGGCTAGATGTTCGATGTGCGTAGCTATGCTAAAAGCTCTAAAGGTAACTACGCAGCTATGAAGCTGCCATAGAGGGACT